GGCTGAGGTAGGATGCCTTGAGCCTGGGAGGTTGAGACTAAAGTGAGCTGTGATGGCACCACTGTATTCCAGCCTGGGCAACAGGCTTTTGTCTCCAAAAGAAAAAACAAATCAAAACAGATCGGCAACCACTGATTTACTAAATAACTTTTTTTTTTTTGAGACATGGGGTCTTGCTGCGTTGCTCAGGCTGGAGTGCAGTGGCTACTCACAAGGACAATAACCTTGACTAGTGTAGCACACTACAACCCTTCACTCCTGGGCTCAGCCTCCCTAGTAGCTGGGACTGCAGGTGCACCACTGAGCTAGGCTTAATGATTTTTTTTGAAAAAGCCACTTAGTGAATAAGTCATCGTTGAACCCCGCTCCAGGTAGGTCACACTCCTGGTTTGGCCACCTGCAGCGCTGACATCCCTTCTTCCTATTTGGCGCAGTTTAGACTCTACCTTTTAGCATATGCCCTCCTGAAATGGGCTATGGGAACTTAATTCAACCCAGTTCAGGCCAAAGGATTTCAGAAAGAAGAGTTGTTTTGGGAGAAAGGATAAAGGTCTGAACTAGACCTGAGTAAGGAGGACTGGGCTGATCCCCCACCACAGACACAGGCATACTCAGTGCTTCCTGCCTTCTGGGATGAAATGCTTTGCTCCTGTCACCTCCTGTGTGCACAACACTTCAGTTTACAAAGCGTATTCATTCCCATGGTCAGGTTCCTTGATGCTGCCCGTGAGGCTGGGAGGGCTACTATTATTACTTCTACTGTATAGATGAAGAAACGGAGGCTCCAAGAAGGGCAGTAACTTACCTGATCAAGGTCACACAGTTAGCTGGTAAGGGGTAACTTGAAGACTGTAAGATGCACCGTGGAAAACACAGGGCTTTGGGTCACAAAACTGGGTTTGTGTTCTGGCTGCCATACTAACTAGCTGTGTGATGTAGAGTTACTTTTACTGCTCTGAATTTGTTTCCTCATCTGTAAAATAGGAATAGTACTGACAGGTTGTTATAAAGGTCAAATGACATAATAATATACAATCTATAAAGGCTTATACCATATGGGGGCTTTTTTTTTTTAAATCAAGGGTCAAGGTCAGCAGATAAACTCAAGACATCAGAGTCAGGTATCCAGTACTCTTGGCCCTATTCCACACTGCCTTTGCTCTGCTTGTTTCTGGATAGTACCATACTCATCATCCTTTTCCAGTGTCAGTCCCTGTTCCCTTCCCAGCCCAGAAGCTACCCTGTCCTTTCCCCTCTCCTTTGAGAGCTAATTTACTGATTGCTAGTTGATAACCACCTCCTTAGAGAGCTGTACTTCCAGTTTCTTGGGCCTTGTGAGAGCCAGCCAGAGTTCCCTCCTTGTCTTCCTGCCTGGGCCAGCCCAGCGCTGGGCTTTTCAGTCAGACTGTCAACACCCACTCCCCTGCTCTGTGTGGAACTGAAGATTGCAGGCCCAGGAGTTCTGCTTTGAATGTCAGGGCTTCCCACATAATCCATTGGGCACAAGTAATGCCACCTGCCTCCAAGGAGCTTTAAGTCTTAGTTCATCTACCTAGTGCTCTTGTAACAACCATTGTAATCTCCAATTCCTGGATAGGAAAACTGAGGCCCAGCAAGCGTAAATGCCTCAAGCTTGGTTGTAGTGAGTCAGCACAACTGGGGTTAGAACTTAGGTCTCTCAACTTCCAGTCTGAAGTCTCTATTCGACTCTCCACTGACCTAGAGGGTCCTTATGCCCTTCCCTGACCCACACTCTGAGGGTCTCTAGCTGAATGTCCTGAGGTTACATGCACATACATGTGCACACGCACACACACACACTCATTCATGCAAATAGGATGGAAATATTTTTTCATGTGAACCAGAGACACAACTTCATAAAGTGAAATCATTTCTTTCCCAGCTGATTCCAAGGGAAACTGTACCCTGGGAGGGAGCTGGGACCAAGCCCTGGGTCCTTTGCATCCCCCATACCACGAAAGTTTCTTTTCCACTTCCCAGTGGGGATTTTCTTCTCCACTTGTCATTGATTTTTGAAGCTTCTGAACCAGTGGTGAGAGCTCAGGCTGCAGGGGTAAGGGGTTCCCAGACCAGGGTGCAGCCTTGCAGTATAGCAAGTGAAATGGAGAAAATGGGCTAGTGGTGTTGGTGCTTGGGTGGAGCCAGGGATAAGGAATACTCAGGGATTTGGTTGTGTTTAAAACAGGGCTGCCCCCTCTCAGGGAGCAGGCCCTGGTTGTGGGAGACAGTCAGGGAAAGGAAGTCACATATTGACCACCAAGAGTCCCCCATGGCCAAAAAGTAGCTGATGAGAGAAGGACCCTTGCCATAGCAGTGTAAATAATCGCAGGGTTTCTGGAAGCTTTGCTTCAGAACTCAGAAAAGCAGTTCCTCACCCCAAGGCCCTATGACCTGCAGAGGTGACCAGATGTTGGCTGGAGCTGGGACTCCTCATACTTACCCCACTAATAAATACAGCAGCCCATTTATTGGGCACTTGCTATGTGCCATACCTCATGCTGGACACCTTCTATACATTATTAACTCTTACTTTTTTTTTTTTTTGAGACAGGGTCTTGCCCTGTCGCACAGGCTGGAGTGCAGTGGTATGAACATAGCCCACTGCAGGCTTGACCACCCTGCAATCAAGTGATGCTCCCACCTCAGCCTCCCAAGTAGCTGGGACAACAGGCGTGTACCACCACACCCTGATAATTTTTTCATTTTTTGTAGAGTCACGGTTTTGCCATGTTGCCCAGGCTAGTCTCAAACTCCTGGGCTCAATTGATCTACCTGCCTCGTTCTCCCAAAGTGCTAGGATTACACTGTGCCTGGCCTCATTTCATATTCTGAGCAATTGTAGTGCAATAGGCAAGATTATCCCCATTTTACAGATGAGAAAATTGAGGCTTGGGGAACAAATATATTGCCAAGATCACATATAACTAGTTGGTGGAACTGTGATTAGAATCCCTGCCAGTCTTAATCTAGCATCTATGTTCTTAATGATGGTATTTTCTACCCAAGAGTCTGGAAGGCTCTAAAATCTTTCAGAGGCATATGCCAGGGTCTCAGGAAATGGACAGAAGATTGAGGGGAAAGTCAAGTTTTTGTCTTACTCTTGACTTCATCCTTCCTAGTTGGGCTTGAAAGATTTGCTCCAGGCTGGGCATGGTGGCTCATGCCTGTAATCCCAGCACTTTGGGAGGCCAAGGCGGGCGGATCACAAGGTCAGGAGTTCAAGACCAACCTGATCAACATGGTGAAACCCCATCTCTGCTAAGAATACAAAAATTAGCCAGGCGTGGTGGCAGGTGCCTATAATCCCAGCTACTCAGGAAGGTGAGGCAGGAGAATCACTTGAACCCAGGACGCAGAGGTTGCAGTGAGCCAAGATTGTGCCACTGCACTCCAGCCTGGGCAACAGAGCGAGACTCCATCTCCAAAAATAAAAGATTTGCTCCACCCCACCAAGGACCTTGAGAGAAGATACTAACGTCTGGGAGCCTCAGCCTCTACCTCATTCATCATAACATACCCAGACCCCAGTCCAAATCCCAGGTTCAACTGAATCTCCAGTAATCCCTTGCATTGAATTTGCTGTACTGAATTGGCAACCAGAGTGCGCATGGCCAGATAGGGTTTTCAGTACTTATAAGAATGATGGGGTGGCCAGGTGTGGTGGCTCACGCCTGTAATCCCACCATTCTGGGAGCCCGAGGCAGGTGGATCACCTGAAGTCAGGAGCTTGAGACCAGCATGGCTAACATGGCGAAACTCCATCTCTACTAAAAATATAAAAATTAGCTGGATGCAGTGGCGTGTGCCTGTAGTCCCGGCCACTCGGGAGGCTGAGGCAGGAGACACTTGAACCTGGGAGGTGAAGGTTGCAGTGAGCTGAGATCGCGCCACTGCACTCCAGCCTGGGCGACAGAGAAACTCCATCTCAAAAAAAAAAAAAAAAACAGATTTCCCCCTTGCCAGAATACCCTGGATTGGGATAGGGCAGCTCTCTGAAGAATTGAGCCCCTTACTCAGCAGGTTTCTTACTGTGCCTTTTGGTTTGTACTCAGTAGCCAAGATACTAGGTTTGGAGAGGGCAGGGTGGGCCCTGAGTTGAGAGAGGTTCTACCTATGGTTGCATCACAGAGTGACCTGGAACAGCTGTCCTGTGCCAGAACCCTTTCCAGTCTCCTAGTGGAAAGTGTCCATATTTAGTTGAGGATCTAGTGGATCCCTAAATTTGTGCACTCTCCTTTTGTGTCTGTATAGCCTGGAAAATAGCTAATACTGGCCAGGCGTGGTGGCTCACACCTGTAATCCCAGCACTTTGGGAGACCAAGGCAGGCGGATCACAAGGTCAGGAGATCAAGACCATCCTGGCTAACTCGGTAAAACCCCGTCTCTACTAAAAATACAAAAAATTAGCTGGGTGTGGTGGTGGGCGCCTGTAGTCCCAGCTACTCGAGAGGCTGAGGCAGAATGGCGTGAACCCAGGTGGCGGAGGTTGCAGTGAGCAGACATCGCACCACTGCACTCCAGCCTGGGTGACAGAGCGAGACTCCGGCTAAAAAAAAAAAAAGAAAAGCTAATACTTATGGATGAGGCACTGTTTTAAATGCTTTACGTGTATTATATAATCCTTATAATGACTCAATGAGGTAGATATTATTTTATCCTCATTTTACTGGTAAGAAAACTTAGGCATAGAGAGGTTAAGCAATTTGTTCAGGGTTACACAGCTAGGAAATGCAAAACCAAGATTTGACCTTAGTTTATCTGGCGCCAGAGCTTATGTGCTTTCTACCACATTATACTGCATCTTTGCTCGGTCTCAGGGCCTTTCATTGTGTATCTTTCTGATGACTGTCTTGGTGGGACTTTGGGATAGTGTCAGGTTAAGGGAACAGGAGCCGGTTTCCCTTTGTGTGCCCTTATCTTTTCTTCCCAGTAGGCAGAGGCCTCCCTAACCAAGAATGTCCCCTTTCATCCGTCCACAGGTCACTGCAGCCAGAGAGGTCCAGAAGAGAGAGGAGGCACTGCCTCCACTACAGCAACTGCACCCACGATGCAGAGCATCAAGTGCGTGGTGGTGGGTGATGGGGCTGTGGGCAAGACGTGCCTGCTCATCTGCTACACAACTAACGCTTTCCCCAAAGAGTACATCCCCACCGTGTTCGACAATTACAGCGCGCAGAGCGCAGTTGACGGGCGCACAGTGAACCTGAACCTGTGGGACACTGCGGGCCAGGAGGAGTATGACCGCCTCCGCACACTCTCCTACCCTCAGACCAACGTCTTTGTCATCTGTTTCTCCATTGCCAGTCCACCTTCCTATGAGAACGTGCGACACAAGTGGCATCCAGAGGTGTGCCACCACTGCCCTGATGTGCCCATCCTGCTGGTGGGCACCAAGAAGGACCTGAGAGCCCAGCCTGACACTCTACGGCGCCTCAAGGAGCAGGGCCAGGCGCCCATCACACCGCAGCAGGGCCAGGCACTGGCCAAGCAGATCCACGCTGTGCGCTACCTCGAATGCTCAGCCCTGCAACAGGATGGTGTCAAGGAAGTGTTCGCCGAGGCTGTCCGGGCTGTGCTCAACCCCACTCCGATCAAGCGGGGACGGTCCTGCGTCCTCTTGTGACCCTGGCACTCGGCTTGGAGGCTGCCCCTGCCCTCCCCCACCAGTTGTGCCTTGGTGCCTTGTCCGCCCCAGCTGTGCCTTAAGGACTAATTCTGGCACCCCTTTCCAGGGGGCTCCCTGAATGCCTTTTTCTCTGAGTGCCTTTTTCTTCTTAAGGAGGCCTGCAGAGAAAGGGGCTTTGGGCTCTGCCCCGCTCTGCTTGGGAACACCGGGTATTCTCATGAGCTCATCCAAGCCAAGGTTGGACCCCTCCCCAAGAGGCCAACCAGCGCCCCCTCCCATTTTCCGCTACTGACCAGTTCATCTAGCTTTCCACACAGTTGTTGCTGCCTATTGTGGTGCCTCCTCAGGTTAGGGGCTCTCAGCCATCTCTAACCTCTGCCCTCGCTGTTCTTGGAATTGCACCCCCAAGATGCTCTCTCCCTTCTCCAGTGAGGGAGCCACAGAATCCTGAGAAGGTGAATGTGCCCTAACCTGCTCCTCTGTGCCCAGGCCTTACGCATTTGCTGACTGACTCAGCCCCCATGCTTCTGGGGGCCTTTCCTACCCCCATCAGCATCAATAAAACCTCCTGTCTCCAGTGGCCCCGGCTCCTCCCTGTGTGCTGGGCATTAGCGGGTGGGCATGGGCTAGGGCTCCCCAGAGACTGGGAGCCTTTTGTTTTTTCTAGTAGACAATAGGCTTCATTGTGGTCCCCTCACCCCCCAATTTCCCTAACAAAGCTCTAGGCTCCCTTGGAGGGGGCAGTCTTGCTCTGGGGCCCAGTCACAGATGCTATAGTGGACTCAGACACAAAACTTGAGGAAAGACTTCCTGATCTTAGGACTCAGAAAGGGAGAGGTTGAGAGCCATTAGCCTAAAGGCAGATGCTCTCACAGTCATGCATCTGAGAGCTGTACCTCACATCACCAAGAGGACAGTGCTTTAACAGGAGTTGGAGTTTGAACCCAGGTCTCTGCCTCAACTGAAGACTTCCAGGTATCCTAGCTTGCAGTCCTAGAATCATTACAGATAGCTCAGTCACTCCTGCTCACCAAAACAGAGGCTTAGACCAGCCTTAGGAGACTCCAGACCTAAGGGGGATTGGGGGGATGCTGCTAGGAGTCATACCCTGCCATGGACTTACTCCCTCCCCACTCTTGAGCCTGTTTCTCTCCCAGTTCCTATCAAACAAGATGAGCCCCAAGACTGGCAAGCCTAAGCGACTGTTGGCCCCCCCAAAAAATTTATTTTCCTTTAAAACAAAACATACAACCAAAATTTAGGGTTTGGAGCAGTAGGGAAGACAGGAGATACCAGAGAGCCCATTTTACAGTAGAAATCTGCATCTGACCCCTCTATCCCATACCTTTGCAAAGGAGGGGAGGGGTCTATAAGCCAGAACTTTCAGAAGAGAGAAGAAAACACATGGTGTGCTGGTGCTGTTTCTGGAGCAGGTCATCCTTTAGGTACAAAACACCACCTCCACCCAATGACATCAGAACCACTGACTGGTTCTGAGTAGAGCCCTTGGAAATCATACAGCCCACCCATCCCCTATCAGACACATGGACACACTGAGGCTCAGATAGGGAAGGGTACATACCATAGGGCGCACACCACATCAAAAAGGTGAAGTCAGGACTAGAACACCTGAGCAGCTTTAGCAGGGGACTGTGGCCACAGGCCTGGATGTGCACAGTAGATCATGAAATACATTAGTCCTGTGAATGACCCCGTGGAGAGAAATGGCTGTGGTTGTCAGGGAGCAGCAACTGCTCAGGGGCTCCTGACCTCAGTGAAAGATGACTATGTAAAGGCCAGAAAGTGGGTGGTGGTCATGAACCTCAGGACGTTTTTTTAGCACCAAATGGTGGAGCTCTCTGCCAGCTCAGCTTCTTGGGGCCTCTCCGGTAAAGGTGATGTTGCTTGAGGACCCCATGCCCATATGAGGGTGGAGAGGAGAAGCCAGCAGCACTGGGGTGAGCCTTGGCCTATGCCCTTCCTTCTTACCCTTCCCCCATCTTCAGTAAGGCCAAGAGAGGATGTAGGGTGGGGAAGGCCAGAATGGTATCTTGTTTCTTGTTTCTGGGCAGTGGGCTTCCTCCTCCCAAGCAGGACTGAAGGGTTCAGAATCGCTTTTCCTCAGGCTGAGAGGTTATGAGCAGCTCCTTGTTCCCGAAGTCCCACCAGGCCGTCATGTGGAACGCCATGTTGGTTAGGACAACAGTGTACTCCAGGATGGCAAAGATGGTGTACACTGTTGTGAGGACACAAGGAACAGGGCATGATGAACTTCCTGCTACCCCCTCAGGGGCCTCTTGATAAATCACACCACCATTAGTCTGCCACAGAGAACACAATGGCAGTCAGTCCCCAAGACCATTGCCCATTATCAAAAACATCACTGCTGCCCTGAAGCCACTCATGACTGCCTGTGGATCCTATCCTGACCTCACCTCCAGCCTCACAATACATGTTGTGCCGAAAGTAGACAGCCAGCGCCGAGAAGAAGGAGACGAAGTTGATGACGAAGAGCCGCTGTTTCCAGCTGTAGGACTTCCGATCCTAGGGAATGGGCTGTCTGATCACTCTGCAGCTTGCTGGGATGAGAGCTAGGGCTCCCCTCTCAGCTCTAGCTCCTAAGGCTGGGCCTTATCTCCCTTGGCTCCCACTAGTGGTCATGGAAGGGAGCACAGGCAGGGGCAGCAAGAATGAGGAACATGTTGACGTCCCTGCCTTTGGGGGAGTGATGGGCCAAGGAGCAGTGGTATTCCTGCCCCTTCCACTTCAGGGGGATGGAGTATGAAAGTTACATGGAGTCACCCACCAACCCCACCTCCAAATACTGTGCGGGGAAAGAAACCCATATACACATGTGGGGCGCTGAAATTATGACAGACCACAGTCCCCTGACACTGTTCCTAACTCACTGCCGCCTAGATGCGACTCCTCATTCTATCCCCATTTGCAGCCTCCATCTCTTCTATTCTCCAGTCTCCCACACTACCCAAACACAGTGCTCTAGTCCTAGATTCTGACCAACCACCCTCAGTTTGTCACCAAGCCCCAGCCCCAACCCCAGCACCCCTCTGCCAGGGTTCCCATTAGAACTTAGTTCCCACCTCACCATTACCCAAATCCTGAGGACAGATGTCCTTGATTTTCTTCTGGGTTGCTTGGAGCCCCCGCTAGGGATAGACCGTACCTCCTGACTTACTGTGTGCTTCTTGGTCAACCGCCAGAGAATACAGGTGAGGAGCATATGCCCGAGGGATGAGGCGATGAACACAATGAAAGCATTTTCGTGGATGGCTAGAGGGAAAGAGGATTGGGAGCCACATTGCAGGGAGTGCCCACACCACTAAGTAGGAGGGGTCCGAATGTGGTAGGGGCAGGCCCCTCCCCTCAGGGAACCCTTCCCCACTCCTCCCTCATCCGGGCACCCACTGAAGTCCTCGGAGGAGGAGACGTAAGTGAGCACTAGCAATGCAAGGTTCTCCACGACATTGAGGCCGAAGTTGAGGCGGCAGAGCGGGCGATAGCAGGAACACGGGGAGGCGCAGCTGAGGTAGTGGTTCCAGTAGGCGAAGGCCACCAAGAAGCGAGGCGCCGAGTGCAGGCCGATGCAGAAACGCCACACGTAGCGCTGGGGCACCTCCCCGCCGATGGCCGAGCTCACCGAGGGCAGGTAATTGGGCACCTAGAGAGTTGTGACCTGTCTGGGCATCTGCCTCTGCCAGCCCCGCCCATGTGGAGAACCTTCTCTCCATCTAACAAAATCACTCTGGCCTCTGCTCCAGTCCCTCCCCTTCCAGGAAGTCCTCCTTCAGATGTCCCCACACCTCTCCCAAGGGACCTCTCCTTCCAGGTCCTAGGCCCAAAGTGCTGGATTCTCATTCCCCAGCTATCCTGGGATTTGTGCAGGAGCATGGTGGGACCTTCTCCATCTCCCCTGCAGACTGGAACCTGCCTGTGTTTGGTCAGTGTGAAGATGGGTTCAGATACCCTACACCCATAGCTCAGAGCTGTGCCTCCACTAAGACCCTGGGTGAGTTCCAAGACCTCAGATTCATTCTAGAGGACAGGGATGAGTCGCAGACTATCTGAGCTTCCTTAGAAAAGTGCTGGATTCACTGGTCAGCTAAGATGTTGCTCAGTCTGCTCCCAGCGCCATTGATTCCTCTAGGCAGGTGTGCCAAGGTGGTAGAATGGCAGCCCTGCTCTGATCATGATTAAGAAAGTGGGTAGGCTGGGCATGATGGCTCACACCTGTAATCCCAGCACTTTGGGAGGCCAAGATGGGTGGATCACCTGAGGTCAGGAGTTAAAGACCAGCCTGGCCAACACGGCGACACCCTATCCCTACTAAAAAAAAAAAAAAAAGGCCGGGTGCGGTGGCTCACGCTGTAATCCCAACACTTTGGGAGGCCGAGGCGGGCGGATCACAAGGTCAGGAGATCGAGACCATCTTGGCTAACACGGTGAAACCCCGTCTCTACTAAAAATACAAAAAATTAGCCGGGCGTGGTGGTGGGCGCCTGTAGTCCCAGCTACTCGGAGACAGAGGCAGGAGAATGGCATGAACCCGGGAGCCGGAGCTTGCAGTGAACCGAGATCACGCCACTGTACTCCAGCCTGGGTGAGAAAGCGAGACTCTGTCTCGAAAGGAAAGAAAGGAAAGAGAGAAAGGAAAGAGAGAAAGGAAAGAGAGAAAGGAAAGAGAGAAAGGAAGAGAGAAAGAAAGAGAGAAAGAAAGAAAAGAAAGGAAAGAAAGGAAGGAAAAAAAGGAAAAGGAAAGAAAAGAAAGGAATGAAAGAAAAGAAAGGAAAGAAAGGAAAGGAAAGGAAAGAAGGAAAGGAAAGACAAGAAAGAAAGGAAAGAAAGAAAGAAAGGAAAGAAAGAAAGAAAGAGAGAGAAAGAAAGAAAGAAAGAAAAAAGAAAATGGGTGCTCCTAACCTGGGGTAGTCTAAGGAAATGACCATGTTCTCGTGCATCTCCACCATCCATCTTTCTCAATGCCTGGAACTCCTATTGAAGCCTCAGTCCTTAAAGCTGAGGAAAAAGGAGGAGATAATACACAGCTGCAGGGACTGGCGTCTTCCTTGTTTGAGAGGTGAAAGGATGGATGACTGAACAATGGTTTAGACAGGGACAGGAAAGCCAAAGATGGGAAGAGGCTTTCTTAGACTTCAGGGCCTAAAGCAGTGCTTCACAAACTTTAATTACCCATACACCTCACTGGGGGAATTGTTTGAAATTGCAGAAGGCTTGGAACCTGAGGATCTGCATTTTTAAATTTTTTCACTTTGTTTTCCCCCTTTTTGAGTCAGGGTCTCACTCTGTCACCCAGGCTGGAGTGCAGTAGCATGATCATGACTCACTGCAGCCTTGACCTCCTGGGCTCAGGTGATCCTCTCACCTCAGCCTCCTGAGTAGCAGGCTAATTTTTGTAGAGACAGGGTTTCGTCATGTGTCCCATGATGGTCTCAAACTCCTGGGTTTAAGCTATCCATCTGCCTTGGCCTCCCAAAGTGCTGGGACTACAGGCATGAGCCACCTCACCTGGCCAGAATCTGTTTTTTGTTTTGTTTTGTTTTGTTTTGAGACGGAGTCTCGCACTGTCACCCAGGCTGCAGTGCAGTGGCGTGATCTCAGCTCACTGCAACCTCCGCCTCCAGGGTTTACGCCATTCTCCTGCCTCAGCCTCCAGAGTAGCTGGGACTACAGGCGCCCGCCACCACGCCCGGCTAATTTTTTGTATTTTTAGTAGAGATGAGGTTTCACCGTGTTAGCCAGGATGGTCTCGATCTCCTGACCTCGTGATCTGCCCTCCTCAGCCTCCCTAAGTGCTGGGATTACAGGCGTGAGCCACCGTACCCAGCCGTTTTGTTTTTGTTTTGGACACAGGGTCTCACTTCGGTTGCCCAGGCTGGAGTGCCATAGCATGATCTCAGCTCACTATAGCCTCTACTTCCTGGGCTCAGGTAATTCTCCCACCTTAGCCTCCCAAGTAGCCACCACCATGCCTGGCTAATTTTTTGAGTTTTTTTGTTTTGTTTTGTTTTGTTTTTTAGTAGCAACAGGGTTTTGCCATGTTGCCCAGGCTGGTCTAGAACTCCTGGACTCAAACAATCCACCGCTCTCGGCCTCTCAAAGTGTTGGGATTACAGGCATGAGCCAACACGCCAGGCCAGAATATGCTTTTTTTTTTTTTTTTGAGATGGAGTCTCGCTCTGTTGCTCAGGTTGGAGTGCAGTGGCACGATCTTGGCTCCCTGCAACCTCTGCCTCCTGCGGTTAAGCAATTATCCTGCCTCAGCCTCCCGAGTAGCTGGGATTACAGGCAGCTGCTGCCACGCCCAGGTAATGTTGTGTTTTTAGTAGAGATGGGGTTTCACCATGTTGGGCAGGCTGGTCTCGAACTCCTGACCGGTGATCCGCCTGCCTCGGCCTCCCAAAGTGCTGGGATTACAGGCGTGTGCTACCATGCCCAGCAAGAATATGCATTTTTAAAAGATTCCCAAACTGTGGAAATGTCTAGTCCATTGCCCACACTTTCTGTGCACTTTTGCAGACCTCCAAAGAGGGCCAGCACAGTGCCAGAGCCCAGTAACACAGCAAGGGAATGAACTTGCTCTAACTATGGAGGGATAGTCTTTGGAAGTGGAGTTCTGAAGGACCATCATTCCTTTCTTTCAACGAGATGCTAGACTGCTGAGAAGGTGAGCAATGCTGCAGGCAGCTCACAGGGCAACCCACAGGTAGGCCTGGGGCAAGACTAGACAGGGGGCTTCACAGCCTCCACAAAAAAGGAGATGGATTCCCCTCTGCACTGTCAGAGGAAGCTAAATGCAGAGCTCTGGGAGAGAAGATGCTGGCCTCAAAGCCATAGCTTAAGATATCATAGCTTGAGACCAGGCTCAGACATGCACTCTGAGTAATGTGAGGGGGCAGCATAGAGGCTCAGGAACTGCACAAAGCTGAGTCTGTACCCCAGCTCTGCCTTTATTAGCTGGGTGACCTTGAGCAAGTCACTTCACCTCTCTGAGCTCCAATTTCCTCATTGGTAAAATAGATATAACACCACCTACCTTGCAGGGTGTTTATGAATTCTCTTTATTTATTTATTTTTTTAAGACAGGGTCTCGCTCTGTTGCCCAGGCTGGAGTACATTGGCGTAATCTCGGCTCATTGCAACCTCCACCTCCCAGGTTCAAGCGATTCTCGTGCCTCAGCCTGCCAAGTAGCTGGGACTAGAGGTGCCACCACTCCCAGCTAATTTTTTTTTTTTGACATGGAGTTTCACTCTTGTTGCCCAGGCTGGAGTGCAGTGGTGTGGCCTCAACTCACTGCAAACTCCACCTCCCAGGTTCAAGCAATTCTCCTGCCTCAGCCTCCCGAGTAGCTGGGATTACAGGCACCCGGCCTCTAATTTTTGTATTTTTAGTAGAGATGGGGTTTCACCATGTTGGCTAGGCTGGTCTTGATCTCCTGACTTTAAGTGATTCGCCTGCCAAGGTGCTGGGATTACAGGTGTGAGCCAACATGCCCAGCCATATGAATTCTAAATATAACATGTATAAAACATCTGCAGTATCTGGCATGCAGTAAGTACAATAAGTGATGGTTTTCAGAAGACAAAATTTCCTGTAAAGAATGCAAAAACGCTGTGACCTACATGGCCACAGAGCATGGGAAGGTCTGCTTATGGGTGAGAGGCAGGAACCTCCAAGTTTCCTTACTAGATTTTTCTGTGTTGAGTTACTCCGAGTTGGGTTAGTCAGAGTGTTGCCTCTGCTTCCTGGAATATTCATTCTGAAAACTACTCCCCAATCTCAACTATAAGGAAAACAGGACCACCATTTAAAGCTTGACTGGGAGAGCCTAAAGGATTCAAGGGCCCTGAACCCTGACCACTGTTGGGAATGGGTATTGGGGAGAAACAATACAGGGTTTGGGGAAGGCCTCAGAAGGAAATGAGAGTTAGGGCATTGTGGCTGCTGGTCCTGTCTTAATGAGCTTCTCTCAGATTACGGATGGGGGTGGGATTCTAAGAGCCAGGACTGTCTCTTCCATCACATACACACACACACACACATACACACAGACACATACATATAATCAGGTACATGTACTCCTACCCCCAGCCCCATTCCCAGCACACAAGTTCCCCACTCACCGACTGCACCAGCAACAAGCAACATCAGGAGCTATGAAAAACCAGGTACACAGCTCACCCCAAACTTCCCCATGTGCCCAGAGCTAAGAGTACTGAGAGACAGGAGGATAAGCCCTTTCTGATAGGACAGTAGATCAGAAACTCATATGGTATAAAGACAGGGTTCCCCAAAATCCCCTTTCACAGCACCTCACATTTCACCATGAGATTCATTCCTTTGGCCTCAGGTAAAAGTCCCCCCACATTATAGATGCCTTCTCTAGCTACCCTACTGTCCCCCGCCCCATGCCAACTGCACAAAAACTCCAATTGCTGTCAATCCCACTTTCTACACCTCTCTGGACTCCATCCCTCCTCTCTATCCTCACAGTATGCATCTTAGCTCTGGTTCCCCCAGTAGCATGAGCTACTGCACTAGCCTCCTTATACCCTAGTCTTGCCCCTGCCCTTAAAGCTGTTCTCCACTCAGAAGCTAGAATGGTCTTCTAAAGCACAAACCTCCAGCCTACACAACATGGCAAA